TCTCCCTTCTCTCCTGCTGTCTCCTGGGACTGCCTCCCGGAGCTGTTGGCTGTTGTACAAAGCGGACTCTACTGGCCTTCATGCAGCTGGTTCCGACCTGCTGTCGTGTGTCTAGCCTGTTGGTCATTTCTTCTGCCCAGGGCTCAGGGGCCTCCTCCGAGCCTCTTGCCTCAGCCTTCCATGTCCATAGGTTACCTCCTACTCTGCTCACAGGTTCCTCTCCACACCCCACCCCTCCCCACCTCATGATCATGGACACATGAGCCCTGCCTTCTTATCAGATAATACTTACCATTTCCCCTGCCTTTACAGGACCCAAAAGTATCAGCATGGGTAATGGGTAATTGGGATTGTACACATCTCTATATGTATACACCCCTGTGCACTGTACACAGACAGTGCACATCCCTACTCCTGGCCAGACTGGTCCCCATGGAGTAGGGGTGTGCAGGGGAGAGGTCTAGATGAACCTAGGAAATCAGCAGACGATGGCCGAAGACCTACAGTCTGTTCTGTGATGCTGACACTGACATCAGCTGTGGCATGTGTTTGGTGACTTAAGAGTACTCTGGGAGAGTCTTGTGCATGCATGTACGTATGTGTGTGTGGTCTCCTTAAATGTTCCCATAATTTAACCATAAAACAGCATCCTAGGTCATAAATCAGGTTTCTTCTAGTTTGGTTTCTTGTTGCTGTGATAAAATACTGGCTAAAAGTAAGGTGTAGAGGAAAGAGTTTATTTGTCTTATGTGTCATAGTCCATCATTGAGCAAAGCCAGTGAGGCCCAATCTCAAGGCAGGAACTGAAGCTAAGACCATGGAGCTACTTACAGGCTTGCTTTTCACTGGCTTGCTTTTCACTGGCTTGCTCAGCTATCTCTCATATATAGCCCAGGCTCACCTGCTATATATATGTGACATTGCTCACAGTGGTCTGGGCCTCCCTCACATGAATGGGCCATCAAGATAATGCCCCCACAGACCAGTCTGAGGGAGGCAGTTCTTCAGTTGAGGTTCCTCTCTTCCCAGATGACCCTTGTTTGTGCTAAATTGCCCCCAAGCTAACCAGTGTACATGTAGTTGGTCCTTTTTACTCTTTTGGGGGTCTGCCACCCAGCTCCCAAATAAATATATGGAGACTTATTTTTACTTACGAATGCCTGGCCTTAGCTTGGCTTGTTTCTAGCCAGGTTTTCTAACTTAAAATTAACCTGTTTTACTTCTTCTATGTTTTGCCTCTGGCTTTTTACCTTTCTTTATTCCCTATGTTTTTCTTCCCTTCTTACTCTGTGGCTGGCTGGGTGACTGGGTGGCTGGCCCCTGGTGTCCTCCTCTCCTTCTCATTTTCTTGCTCCTCCGTTTTCTTCTCCTATTTATTCTCTCTGCCCGGCAGCTCCACCCATTTCTCTCTCCTGCCGAGCTTTTGGCCATTCAGGTGTTTTAGACAGGCCAAGTAACACAGCTTCACAGAGTTAAACAAATGCAACGTAAAAGAATGCAACTCATTTTTGCATCAATACACTAATACCCCCCACAATACATCAAATAGGACATTTGTTAGTAATTTGCAAATTTTGCTTCATATTTTCCCCTTTATCACTTTTTTCTCTCTGCTTGAAATTCGGCAAGGCTGATGAAACAGAAGTCCTCCCACACTGCCACACTGCATACCCTTTTCTCTCTCCAACAGCAGTTTGCCCCAGGTAGTTTCTCTGTATACTTTTATAACCACACCCTCTCTATATATAGGGCCCACCTGGACCACCCGGTGTTCCAGGGCTCCCTGGACCTGGAGGACCCCCGGTAAGCCTGGCTTGACTTTCTCTCAAAGAGGACCTTGGATAGCATTTTCAAGGGCCGGGAAAGGCCCTTTTCTGCCCAAGTCCAGGATAAAGCCACAGACAGGAAGACCCTGAATGCAGATACCTCTCAGGCTCGTGGATCCAGTGGTTATAAGTAGCATACAAGCCAGCCTAACATTTGGTACCTTCCTGTGACATGGCATGGGGGGTGTCTTATGCTGGACCACTATTCAAGTGTACATAGCTGTTTGTGGTCTGGCCTCAGAAAACAGAATATCAAGGATAGTAGTTGTTAACATCCTTCCTTCTCATCCTTTAAGAGCTAGCTGGGAAACTGTCCTCATAGCAGGTACTGGGCAAGGTAGACCCTCCAGTGGGCAGAGGGAGGTGAGTCCTGACAAGCATTTGGCCATGGGTGGACACGGCAGTATTCTCAGCTGCAGAGCAGACAAGCTGTGAAGTCACTCACCAATTGCGAATATAGGACAATTCTATGGTTTACAATGGCTGGCAGGGAGGGTGGTAGACACCTTGAGGTACTCTCCTTAGGGCCAGCGAGGCCCGATCTTGTGCCAGGGATGGCATCAAGACAAGACTCTAGAATCAAATAGACTAACAGTTTTTATATTTTTCCTTTCTCCAGGGTTTACCTGGAGAGCTGGGCTTCCCCGGAAAACCTGGGCCCTCTGGTCACATGGTGAGTTGTTTTATCTTCTGCCTGTCCCCTTACAGTGTCCCATGTCAGGAATAGGCAGACATTTGTCCCTAGCTGCGGGACTCTCTCTCTC